ATGCTTTGTTGGCTAAATGGGGTTGGAGATTCAATGTGGAGCCCTCTGCCTTATGGAGACAAGTAGTGGCCAGTATATATGGAACCGACAATTTTGGTTGGTTCGCTTTTGGGAACAAGACTGGAAGCAATCGTAGCCCTTGGTTTACAATTCAAAAACAGTGGCGCCTAGTGGAGAAACATTGTATCTTCAAAGTTAGAAATGGTGAGCGTATTATTTTTTGGCACCATCGATGGTTAGGGGACTCAATACTAAAAGAACGGTTTCCTGTTTTATTTCGAATTTCTTTGCCCCTTTTATCTCCGTCCGTGAGGCTTGGGATTCATGCTCTTCTTCTTGGAGAATTGAAACAAGAAGAAATCTTAAAGATGAAGAATTTGATGATTATTTAATACTCTTATCAAGTTTAAATTCAATTATCTTGCAAGAGGAGGAAGATTAGTTGACGTAGAGTTTGGAACCTTCGGGGTCTTTTTCGGTTGCTTCTTTATGCAAGCCTAGAAACGCTTCTTTCTTGATGACCAATGATCAATGCTATAGGCTATGGCGGACGGGTTGCCCAAAAAGGGTTAATATCCTTTCTTGAATTCTTATTAATGGAAAAGTCAACACAGGGTTTATATCCTTTCTTGAATTCTTATTAATGGAAAAGTCAACACAGTAGAAGTTCTTCAAAAACAATTACCACATATGCATTTGCAACCATCCATTTGTGTGCTGTGCATGGCAAATTATGAGTTTCAGGTGCACACCTTCTTTTCTTGTCCATATGCAGCAGATTGTTGGCTCTCCTTGCTCCATATGTTCAATATCTCTTGGGTAATGGATGCAGATGTTTCAAAGATTGTTACCCAGCTGATGTTCGGTCCTTTTTTACCTCCTAAAGCGAGCCTTCTTCAGGTAAATGGTGTCAAAGCTATCATCTCGGAGATTTGGTTTGAGAGAAACCAAAGGATTTTTGAGGAAAAAAGAAGACCTTCGGTGGAGTGCTTCAGCTTGTCTAAGTTTAAAGCATCTCAATGGTGTGCTCTATCCAATATTTTTGCTAATTATTCTCCAAACATGATATATGTTAATTGGGGGGCTTTCATTTTCCCTAGTTAGACATACACAGGATGATACTCTGTCTTTTTATTTTTGCTATTCTGGATTGTATCTTTTTATTTTATGTTTTTTCACTCCCTTGGAAGTTTGTATCTTTGAACATTTTATGTTCATTTTCATCTATCAATGAAAAGTTCGTTTCTTGTTAAATAAAATAAAAAAAAATAACAATAAAAACTTAAAAGAAGAAAAAAAATAATAAATAAAGATATTGTGGAACTTGGTGCAATATATATCAAGTTGTGAAATAGGTAATATCTCAATAGATAGGTTATTATGCATGTGGGTTAGGTAGGACCTATTTTAGCACATTTACATCATAAAACGCTACAAAATGACTGACAAAAGAAAAAATGAATGATAGAAACCACGACTGTGTATGATGTAATAATGTGAAAATAAAACATGATTAAAGCCGATGGAAGAATCTTGGAAAAAAGGGAAGAAAAAATGTAGAAGCGAGTGATTCTACTCACTCAAAAAAACAATGCTTTGGGGAAAATACGTCACTCTGTCTCCGAGAAACAATTTCTTCCCAGTCGATCTTGTCACTGTCATAATGTAAAATAAAAAAATAATTACTTTTTATAATGATCTAAACTTTGAAACAAGAAGCTCCCTCTCAGATTAACTAATTCAATTCTGACACAAAATCTCCGTTGTGAGAAAAGCCAAATTATTATATATATGTATATGTAATATTAATAAATCAAACCATTCTATACATTGAACTACCACCAATGCTAGAATTCTAAGTTGTTAGATAAGTAGTATTCAATGTATTCACACTCTCCTAACTTTCATCAACTCAATATGATATTTTTTTATGAGAAACCAAGCTCTCAATATGATTTAGAAATGATATAGAAATAATAATAATAATAATAATAATAATAATAATAATAATAATAATAATAAGTTGGAAAGTCAATGCCGAAATCTAATATTCAGAATTTTCTATTCCGATATCCCATTGTATTAAGCCATTAAATTAGGTGAATCCAATTGTTTAAGCAGTTTTTTGATATTACATTCAAGAAATAAGAAAAACGATGTCCAAAAAGATTACAAGCTAGACTCAAAAGAAGAAGAAAAACTCACTCATAGTTTGCATTCCACAAGTCATTGTATTTGAGATTCAATGATCTGATTGCTTTTTCCCTTTCAGACCAAAGAGGGTCGCAAATAGAAAACTTCACTGGCTCTATGCCTGCACATATGTTAAGAAAGTCAGAGAAACAATGTCACCTCAAAACATATAGGCCATTTTTAAAGTCAAAACATCAGATAACACATACCCTGACATAGAGAACACACAAAGAACACACGTGCAAAAAACATCTAGAAATAGAACTATCCATGGACCAACAGATTATCGTGAAAGAAAATATCTATGGTCTGAAGTTCGTGACTTATCCTACTATTGTAACTATGCTTGGTGTCTTGGTGGCGATTATAACATCATATAATAAGAGAGATCCTCAGGAGGAAGGAGGAAGAATTACTAGAGACCTGAGAAACTTCAACAACATCACTGAAGAGTTGGATTTGTTGGAGATTCCCTTGTGAAAGGACAGATTTACTTGGACCAAAATGGGCGTGTTCTCCATTTTTCTGAACAAAAAAACTTCTAATTGAAATAATGAAAGGATAATACAAGTGTTCAAGGATACAAACTCTCGAAAGAGTGAAAAAAGAATGAAAAAAGGAAAATACCAAAACAGAATTTCAAGGAATTAATAAACTCTCCTCAGTTAGCATTAATAAGAGAGGCAAAATAGTGCAAAAAAGAATCAACAAGAGAACACCAATGTGAAGCTTTGTACATAGCTGAGTAGAAACTTTCAACATACGACCTTTGCTTGCCTTCGAACAACCTTGAGTTCCGTTCAATTGTTCTCTTTTACACCGTTTTTTGGTGTCAATGATGTGGAATACACTTTTTTGTCAACTCAAGAGCCTCTAGAGCAGAATTACTTCTGATCACTTTTCAGTCTTATTAGAGGCAGGGGAGTTCTCGTGGGGACCTAGTCCCTTTTGATTCTTCAATTCTTGGTTGCGTGACAAAAGGTGTATCAATTTTATTCAAACTCACCTAGCAACCAATGTATCATATGGTTGGGCCGGCTTCACCTTAGCTTCCAAGCTTAGGAACCTAAAGGCACTCCTCAAACAGTGGCATGCGCAATAGGAGAAAAAGAAGAAGGCGAGCGAAAGGAAGATTCTTGAAGACATTCTCACTATTGATAATTTGGAGGAGTCTATTGGCATTTCAGCAGTAGAAAGGGAGATGAGGTGTTCTTTAAAGACTGATCTTTTAAGCCTATATATAGTAGAAGGAAGGAATCTAATCCAAAAAAGCAAACTCCATTGGTTGAAAGAAGGGGATGGAAATACTGCTTTCTTCCACAAATATTTGGCAGCTAGGAAACAGAAGTCCACGATTTTATGAATTAATGGATGAAAAGGACTCCGTAGTCACGCAAGGAGAGGTAGAAGCTGAAATTATCAATTTCTTTGATAAGTTGTATACAAAAGAACAATCCACGAGATTTTCGCCAAGAAACATTGATTGGCGCTCTATTTCCAACCAAGATTGCTTGTGGTTAGAAGGGCCTTTTGATGACGAAGAAATATGGTCGCCTTTGAAAAGTCTTGGCAAGAATAAAGCTCCTCGCCTAGATGGGTTCACCTCTGAATTTATTCTGAAATATTGGCAGCAACTAAAGGGTGACTTTCATGGTTATTTGATGAGTTTTACAGAAACAGCCACATCAATAAGTGTCTCAAGGAAAACTTAATTTGTTTAATTCCTAAAAAAGGGGTTTCGGCGAAAGTAAAAGACTTCATGTCTATAAGCCTTTACTTTCTCCATATAAAGTAATAGCAAAGTCTTAGCGAATCTCATTAAAAAAGTCCTACCTTCTACTATTTTTGAATCTCAAAGTGCCTCCATCGAAGGTAGGCAAATTCTGAACCTGGTCTTAATTGCAAATGAAGCTGTGGCAAATTATAAAAGTCGTGAGAGAAAGGGTGGCTTCTCGAGTTAGACATTGAAAAATCATTTGATCGTGTGGATTGGGGTTTTCTTGAAGAAGTGCTTAAGCAGAAAGGTTTTGGAAGAAGATAGATTCAGTGATCAATGGTTGTGTGAACTGTGAACCAAAGAAAGAAAATTTACTAACTTCAACTAATTCCTTCAAAAGAATAAAGCAACCTCATTTTATAGGAGGGAGGCTATGGATTGTTTAGTTGTTGATTATTAACCAAAATAACTAAACAAATCTAACCAACTAACTAATCAACAATAACTAGGAGGGAGGCTATGGATTGTTTAGTTATTGATTATTAACCAAAATAACTAAACAAATCTAACCAACTAACTAATCAACAATAACTAGAAGATCTAACTACCTGACTAACTAAAATATACATGGTTAGTTACATCATACGTGCAACCTAAGAGAACATATTTTTGAAGACAGTGTCTCTACTTTCAATATTTTTTGTAGATGTACACACCACACAGCTTCTTGGTGGTGCCTACAAGAAATTCTTTTGAAACTACAATCTTTCCATATTTATGAACAACTAGAAAGCCTTCGTTTAGTTTAGTTTTTTTTGGTGGGGTCCTCTCTGCCCAGCCCTTAGTTTGTTCCTTCTTTCTTCCTGGTGTTATATACATGTTTCTTATTAGGAAGAGAAAGAAAAATAAATAAATAAATAAATAATACAGCCAAATAAAATAAAAATATCAACAACTAATATTTTCAACTTGTTGGCTCATAAAGAGGCAAAAGAGATAACTCAATATTTCAATCCAACAAACATGTTTCAACAATTTTCCTACGCTGTGTTGTAACTGAATGAGGAACATGCCTGAAGTTTCAAATCTTCCAAGAATTTCTAATCTTTGGTACCTCCAATAAAACAAATCAAGAACAATCATTGTCAAACATGATCACAGTTGCATTTCTTGTACACTAGAATTCCCCTTGCCTCATCCAGTTTGAAAACTGAAAATCTAGGTAACACAGACACGCTCCGACACTCGTCCAGCACGTGTCCTTAAATTTTTTTCTAAATCTGACATGCTGACGACACATTTGAGACACGTTACAAGAAACTAAAAATAAAAATAAAAATAAAAATTAGCCCAGTAGCACATAATTAAATAGATTTTTAAATTGTAGCCTCATAGCCATTCATGAAATGAGGCCCAGCCCACCAAAAACACTAGGATTTTACCTTTTTTTTATTTTGAATCTTTCTCCTCCCACTCCCAAGTTCTCTTTTTTTTTTCTTTATCTCGATTTCTTATTTCTTCTCCATCGACCAACAACCATCACTACGGCCTACAGGTTTTCTTTCTTCTCCCACAAAAAATCAACCCAAAACTCACGCCCCCCGAAGTTACATAACATAGGTCAACTAAGAAGAAGATAAAGAAGAAGGAAGCAGAGGCACAAGCGTTGAGAAAGGAGGAGGAGAGGACACGAGGAGAATGAGGAGGAGGTAGCGGGTTGTGATGAAAGAGATAAAAACTAGAGTAGGATCATTAAGTGGAGGAGAGGAGGGCAAGATGAAAATGAGGTTTCCTTTATTATGAGAGAGAAAAATTAAAACTAGAGGTAGGAATAGGATAGAGCACATTGGGAGGCTAAAAAGTTGTCTTTTTAATTGGGAGACGGGAAATGGGTTGTCGACTGGCCCAATTTTTATCATGGGAAGGAGGAGCACATAGGGGAGGATAAAAACTAAAAAGTTGTTTTTTAATTGAAAGGTCTTATGGGTAGAAGGGGCACATATACAGCTTTTTACATATATATATATATATATATAGATTAACATGCCTCCAACGTGTCATATCATACTTTTTTTTTAAATTGACATGTCGTCGTGTCGTATCCATGTCTGTGCTCCTTAGTTGGATATTACCATTTTTAAGTTCTTTTTTAACAAGAAACGAGATTTTCATTGATTAATGAAAAAATCATACAATGTTCAAAGATACAAACCCCAAAAAGAGTGAAAAAGAGATAAAAAGTAGAATGTAAAATACAGAGCCTAAAGAGGAAGAAAAGCTTCCCAATTGTCGAAAATGATGGAGGAAGAATAGTGTGAGAACAAATCCGAGAAGGAACACCATTGGGAAGCTTTAAATTTAGCAAGTTCGAAACATTCGGAACGGTCTTTCTTCTTGTCATGGAAAATATATGGGTTACTTTCAAACCATAACTCCGAAATAATGACTTTGATTGCATTAATCCAAAGAGATTGGACCTTGGGGAGGGAGAAAGAACAAAAGAATAGTTGCTGAATGTTGCTTTTGGTGTCAGCAGAGAAGACCCAAGACATTAAACAGCTGGAGTAGAGACGACAAGCAACTTGATGCAAAAGAGTAATGGAAGAAGATGTGTTCTTCCGTCTCACTACTAGAATAACAGAGGCACCAAAGACTGTAAATGGAAAGTGGCTAGCTTTCTTTGCAATGTTTCTGCTGTATTCAAATGCCCATTAAGGAGAATCCAAAAAAGAATATTAACCTTTTTGGGCAAGAAGATTTCCAGACCCGAAAATAAAGCCTTTTGAAGGTGGTCACTTTTGCAAGATCATAATATAAGGAGTTTACTAAAAAACTCTGTGAGGCCTCAAGATTCCAAAGCAATTTATCTTCCCCACAGTAATGGACATTGATCTCAAATGAGATAGTAAAGCTACAAGTTCATCAAACTCATAATCTTTAAGACCTCTTCTAGACTTAATGTCCCAAGAGGAGGATGAAAAGTCCCAATTTTCCCAAACTGAGCTTGAGGGGAACTGCACCACCGCAAAAAGGTGTGGAAAACAGCTCCAGATAACCAAATCACTATGCCATAAGTCCAGTCAAAAAAGAACACTTACAATGTTTAATATAGCATGGAAAACATCAATGATTATATTAATAGACTGGGAGCACGCAACACAAAAATAATCAAGCCCCGACATGTCCTGTTGGTTCCTCTAACCGTGAAAAATATTAATTTTTAATTCAGTATAATACAGGAATACGTTCCTAAATATTATTTCAAAATCTATCTACTAGACCGATTGGAATACATCCAGATGCAAGCATATAATCACCCCTCTAAGATTCCAAGATAAGAAATTTGTATTTTAAATATAATATCAAAAAAGAAACAAGTTATATCGCATTTGTATTTTAATTTCACCAGGGAAGACCATCTTGGGAGGATATTACCTATCTGGTGTCTTTCTACTTTTATCTGAGCATTTCTATAATTATCCTCTATTTTGTCGACTTACCAAACTAGTAGTCCTTTTAGTAATCCTCCCTTTTAGTCCTTGTATATTCTTTTATATACTACTATTTAGTTCCCTAGTGAAAAGCTTCGCAGTTTTTTTGCCAAAAAAGAAAGCAGTATTTTCGAGGCGCAAGGCGCACCACAAGGTGACGAGTCCTTTGATCGCCTTGAGGCAAGAGGCGATACAAAGGCGACGCCCGATTGAAGCGAGGCACACCTTAATAAATAAGTAAAAAGTATATATATAGTGCATAAATTACCTTAAAAAAATCAATAACAAAATAGTAAATGTCAACCAGATGCATAAAACAACCAAATCCTATAAGTTTAGTTCCAAATAAAGACAAGCAACATTAAGAAATTCTAGTGTTTGAAATAGAATAAAAATTAAATATAAGTAATCAAAGATCATCATCTTCATCTAAATCTAAATTCTCTTCATCTTGGACGTCCTCACAATCTTCCTTTTCCAATTCTTCTTCTTCGGCGTCATCATCATCACTAACCACCACTTGCACTGATTTTCGAACTCTTGAAGTTGTGGGAGCGGGAGTAGCAGGCGACTTTCCTTTAGATCTTGCATATGTTCTAGTTTGCCTTATGGGCTCTCTAACACCACTGGCCTCGGCTACATCTCCCCATGTGAGGCCGTCATCATCAAAGACCAACTCATTTTCTTCTTGACCATCTTCTTCTCGAGTGTTCCTATCAACCATTCATTACTTTCGTCAATATGATCCAAAGTAATTGGATCAAGTTGGTCTTGTAGAGTGTAGCGCTCTTTTAAGTGCTTGGTTATATTTTATATAAACCAAGTCATTAAGACGCTTTTGCTCTAACCTGTTCCTCTTCTTGGAATGAATCTACAGAATTATTAACGAATGTAGAGTCAAAACAAAAGTGGATTTTTCAATCTTCAATTAACAATGGAAAAACCAAATTATTCTCACTTACGTGTTCAAAAACACTCCAATTGCGCTCAAAGCCAGAAACGTTGCACGTTAGACTAAGGACTCTCATGGCTAACTTTCCAATCTTCTCCACCATCCCATCTAAGAGTTGAAAAATCTTTTCTCCAGTTTTGATGCATGAAGATGCATCGATGGATTCCATAAACAACGTTCCAACAGATGAATGAACTAAAAAGTTGATTAGTGTCCTATCCCTCCTATCAGTCCACCCATCTGACATCAGCGAACAACCATTTCTCTTCCATTCTACCTCATGATCGCCCATCATATTTTTTGTGTACTGTACTTCTTTTTTCAAGTACGTTACACGAGCTTCATGATAAGAAGGAGGTATCAAACCAGGGCAAATTGCCCCACAGCTTCTAGCATCACTTCAAAACTTCTCAAGCGAATAGTATTTAGAGGAATACCTGCTTGATATATCCAACGCGTGATGAATTGCACTGTAGCATCTCTCCCTTCTTTATCATATTTTTCAGTAATAGTTGATTGCTTCAACCTCTTCAATCGATTTCTATCATCAACAACTTTTCCAGGATGTTGATAAACAAATTTATCTATTGGCCCCTTTGGTCGCGGTGGTTTTAACACTGATCTACTACAAGAGTTACCACTTCCTCCTCCACTTCCACTTCCACTTCCTCTCCCTCTCCCTCTCCCTCTCCCTCTCCCTCCTATACTACTCAAATTATCACCTGTGTTTATTCTTGTTCGCTTGTTCATTGGGGTTGATGTTGATCCACTACCACTACCACCAACTACTTCCATCTCATCTTTATCATCTTCTTCAATCAAAGTTAAATCTTCATACGTTGGGAGGGCATTACTCTCTTCCGTTCTTAATTTTGTTCTTGTTTGATACTCCTTCAATTCTTCTCTCACATTAGTTGGGCATTTCAAACATGCCCTTACATTTCGATTTCCCCCAACCAAATGGTTTGTTGCTCGACAATTGGCAGACTCCACCTTTGGTAATTTTTCCACAAAACATGCATTTGCACGTGTTTGTATCTTTCGGATCATCCAATATGATGTATTGCCAACCGGGATTCTTGCGTTTGTTTCCACCTTCTTCCATCCTAATATAATTCAAATTTGGAAGATAAAAAAAAATGTAAAGGAAAGAGTCACTATGAAGTGTGAACAAAGCCAAAGATTTAGAAAACTTTTGTGTGAAATAAAAGAGGAAACGAAAAGGAGTAAATGAGATATAAGAATTAAAAAAATATATAAAAATAAAATAAAAAACCTACGAAATTTGGACTATCGGAGTGAGCGGCGGCGGCAACGAAGGAGGAGGCGGCGGCTGCGACGGTAGCAGACGGCAACGCCGGTTGACGACAGTGGCGACGGCGATGGTCGGAGACGGGGAAGCGGGCGACGGCC